CACACACACACACACACACACACACACACACGCAAAAAGAGTGTACAGACCAGCATTACTTTGGAGCCTGTTAGAAACTTTAACTAGACCCGAGAAGATTCACAAAGCTACACGCTGGAAAAGGTGGCAGTGGATAGAGTACAGTAAGAGCAGAAGGAAATAAGTGTCCACCTGCCTGCCTGAGAGGGCTGGCTACAGACGCATTGGGGCCTCTCTGGCCCTCTTCCACACACTCACCCTTGCCCTCCACCTACCCAGGTGATTCACTGGCCAAAGACCTTCCTCTAGCACCATTTTCACTCCTTCCCAGCATGTGGTTCTGCTCTTAGAAATTTTAAAAGCTTACTCATTCACAGGAAAACTGGTTTGGAAACACTGCTTTATTGCACAAAGCTTCTTCCCTGGTATACAACAGAGGCTACATTAATTATCTACAGTAGTAGCAATTTTGAAAAGAAACCTTTGTGTGCTTCTGATACTGTAAGCAATCTAAAATTTGTGTACCTCATGTGTACACAGGGAAAAACATTTTCTGATGTGAAAATTCTATCCATTTTTTAAAACCGAGACCCAATAGAACTTTAAAAGATTAATTACTTGATCAAAAATAAAGCTGCCAGGGTGAGTTCTGGTGGCCTAGTGGCAAGAAGCTGCACTGCGGTACACACACACACACACATTTTTTTTTTTAAAATAAGGCTGCCTTTCTCTGAATTGAGCAGAGGTAAATGGACCCTCTCACTATCCTAGCCTGTAACTCTAATGATACAATATTTAAGACTCAAAAACTGTGATCTGTATATGGACGGTCTTTGTAAAGTGGGAAGAGTTATAAGACTTATTTCCAAATCATAAGATTTGTTCAGAAATGTCTTTTAAGTTGAATTTGTAGGTAAGTTAGAACAAGTGCATACAGTTATGCAGCAAAGGAAAGTGATAAGCTCAATCTGTTGCTAGTAGGGTAGTTCATTGTTTCAAAGTGTGTGTGTGTGTGCGGTAAATTGTAAATTAAAACACAAGTCCACTTGTAACTCAGGATCCCATTCTGCTGGAAAAGACTAAAGCTCTTCAAGGGCAAAGCCCATTTCGTATCCTTCCTTCCTCTCCACCACAGTGCCCAATAACAAGCTCAGCAAAAACACTTGGTGACTTAAAAGTTCTTCAGAGGGTCAGGGTTCACCCAACCAGAGCTAGTCAGCATTATGGGCTCTCAGGCCACAGAAGACACCACTGTCAAATGGGCACCATCCACGGCCATGACTGGGATGACAACAAGGAGTGCTGAATCAGGAACATCCTAAACCAAGGAGTTAAGTGTTGGGCTGCTGACCAAAATTCTAGCAGTTCAAACGCATCAGATGCTCCTTAGGGGAAAAACCCAAAACACGAGACAGTCTTTTGAGTAAGAACTTTTCAGCCTTGGAAACCTGGTGGAGGGTTGGCACAAGTCAGAAGCACAAGACAGCAGTGAGTTCATCTACCATGGAGCGAGCCCTGATGATGCCATTGTTAGTCGTTAAAAGCACTCAACCACTAGCTGAAAGGCTGGCAGTTCAAACCTGTCAGTCACCCCACAGGAGAAAGATGTCAGTCTTCTTTTGTAAAGATTCATGGCCTTGGGAGCCCTGTCAGGCAGTTGTACTGTGTTCTATAGGGTCACTATGAATGGGAATTCATTAGTCAGCACAGGGTTTCTATCAAAGAGAAGGCTGATTAGCTGCCAAAGGTCTGAGTGGTGTCTGCTTATGCTGCTCCTGGGCAGACGTCTGATGGAAGATTTGGAGTAATGAAGATGAAGGATACCTTATCTGGCTCCTTGACAGGAAAACAGACAAATCAGAGAGGGAGGCATGAGGATGACAGTGGCTCACCGTCTGCTTGAAGCCAACAGCTGTGTGCTGAGGAGCCTTGCGGAGGGCATTGGTCATTGTTCTTCTGGCCTCTGAGTATTCCAGCTGGATGGCTTTGATTCGCCCTGGGTGTGGATGAGAAGTGAGTGGGCCAAGGGAATGGCATCATCCAAGCCCCCCATGCAAAGCAGAGTGTCAATGTGCCTCTTACGCACAACCTGCTAGAAAATTCGCACCAAATGCACCTGAGGCCTTTTTGACTCGAGGGCCGGGCCCCTCTGCTCACCTGTGTAGTAGAGGTACCTTGCCCACTCATTGTTATTGGCCTGCTCGGGGAACACGGATTTGGACACCAGCTTCTCAGCCTGGTCGTACAAGCTGTAGTGTAGGTAGTTGCGCAGAAGGAGGTTCAGCAGGGTCGCCTGCCCGTCAGCATCATGCCGGAGGGTGGCTGTCCTCAGTCGAGCATGCAGGAAGCTTCAAGGAGGAGAGAAAAAAATGTGTCAAAGGCCTCAAGTCATAGCTCTTCAAAGTGCCTCTGAACTCTCCAGGATCTCTTAATTCCTAAAAAAAGATATGTCTGCTCCTTTTCTGTTTATTCACATAGTAGTAATTTCCTAAAAAGAGATACACAGTTTCTTTGTTTATTCATAAAATATTCAACTACTGAGTGCCTATGTGCACAGAAAGGACTGAAATCTGGCCCTTAGGAAAGTTACATTCTTGTCAGGGAGGCAGACAATAATCTTGATTATTAAGTGTATCATTGTATCGTTATTAAGTGTATCATTGTAGTGTATTATGTAGCTTGCTAGGAGGCAGAATCTATGAAATCAGGGTAAGTGCACAGAGGAGCACAGGGTTATGGGAAAGGATGGGGCTGCAACATTAAAAAGCCTGTCAGAGTAGGACTCATTACTGCAGCAAACAAGGCAGGGCATAATGAAAGCGAGGAAACAACTGTTGTTGGCAGAGGTAAGAGCAGATGCAGACTAGGAGGAAGAGTGTGGTTGGTATGCACAAGGGAAAGCAATGTAGCTGAGGGGGCTTCAGGGGGCGTGGGCTCAGAGATTAGAGCGGGGGAAAGAACAAAGACAGACCATTCTGATCTGGGTTATCATGAAGCTAGCTGGTTTTTTTGAATGAAGTAGAGTGCTACTAAAATTTATAAACAGAAGAATGATACGCTTTCTAGATCTTCCTTTACTCAACTCAGCAATCAGCCCTCTTTTGATATGGAGTGAAGGGAAGAGCCTAAGGGACAGTTCTTAGCAGCTAGAAGCAGTCTTCCTCCCAAAGCCCTCACATAGTTCTGGATATGTCAGCCTCATTTCCCACTGGGTATCTTGCATCTGCCAGTTTATCTCCTTCAGCAAGTTTACTGTTTTCTGGTGGTGGCTAACCAAATCTCTGATCCCAAAGGCTGCAAGCAAGACTCATGGCCACTTATATACCTTCGCACCACATCCAGCTTGTCCAGGAACTCATAGACCCGGGCGTGGTAATAGTAACACTTTGCGGCCACAAGGTCTAGGGCCCGGCGGTTCTGAGTACTGATTTTCTGCATCAGATCATCAGAAATTTTCTGTGCCTGGGGAAAAGGCCAAAAGGAAATCAAGGAGCAGTTCCTCAAAGCACTAAATACAGAGTTATCACATGACCCTGCATTTCTATTCCTGGTATAGACCAATATAACTGAAAACATATGTTCACACAAAAACTTGTATACAAATAGTCACATCAGTGTTATTCATGTTGTTATGTACCGTTAAGTCAGAACTACTCATATCTGACTCATAGTGGGTTTTCTTTTTTTTTTTAATTTTTATTGATTTTTTAAATTTTTATTTTATTTTATTAGTGTGTGTGTGTGTGTGTGTGTGTACGGGTGTACATGTGTGTGTGTGTACCGTCAAATCAGACCTGACTGGTACAGGAGGAGATTGTTCCTCCTTCTCCAGCGGAGCATCTGGTGGATTTGAACCGTGCACCTCTGGGATTGCAGTACACCTTCTTGCCACTAGGCCACCAGAGCTCACCTCATAGTGGGTTTTCAATTTTTCACTTAGCAACTACGCTCTTTAATCACTGTGCCACCACTGGTCCTTATTTTATAAACAATTAGGAGAAATTAATTTGCTTAAGCTTCAGCTGGGCTTTAGGTCTTTCTCCAAATTCTCTATACTACATTGCTTTTATGCCACAGATGGGTTAGGCATGACCACTGCCAGCTCTCTGTCTTTCCCATGCATCTCCCTGAGAGAGTTGAGGAGGCTGTCTCTGAATGTGAGGTTAAGCACAATATGGGGGAAGAGACATAAGAAGGTTTCTTAACAACAGTTATCACTGTGTCCCATTCTTCACTAGGCACAATCTCCCCCGTGCTGCTCGGGACGCCCTAGCTGCTCTCCCTGTGCCCTGGGTACCTCTTTGTAGCGCTTGCTGTTCATCAGGAAGATGATCATGAGGAGCTGCAGGTAGGCTTCCACTTCAGGCAGGAGGGGAGCTGACGCGGCTTTTCCTGTTCGAGGCCGGAACTGTAAATCAGCTTCTGTGTCCATGGGCTGTGAGCGGACATGAGTTGTTACCATGAAAAAGCTCAGTTAGATCAATCAACCAAGAATTTATTGAGCACTAATGATATATTTCAACAGTTATTTACTGAACGGCTACTATGTGCCAAGATTTTATGAGATGCTGAGATATCAAAATAAGTGACACAATCACTTTCCCACAGACCCAAGGCAGCACACAAGGTGTCTTTACAGAATATAATGGAGATACAGAGACGGTCTAAGGGATTCTCAAGAAGTCTACAATCTAAGTAATGAGATTAAGCCACCATACCTATAACCACTGCAAATATCAGACTGTTTGATAAAACTTTAGGCCCCAATCACTGAGCTGCCACTGAGGACTCAGCTGCCTCCCCCTCGAGCCCCCTCGCTTCCCGACGCTCTGTCCCCCCTTCCCGCCTTCTCCCGCCACCGCCTTCTGCAGGCCGTTTCCACTGAGGAAAAGGAATCGTATCGTATGTCCGCTATCCAGAACCTCCACTCTTTCGACCCCTTTGCTGATGCAAGTAAGGGTGAGGACCTGCTTCCTGCTGGGACTGAGGATTATATCCATATAAGAATTCAACAGAAAAACGGCAGGAAGACCCTTACAACTGTCCAAGGGATCGCTGATGATTACGATAAAAAGAAACTAGTGAAGGCGTTTAAGCAGAAGTTTGCCTGCAATGGTACTGTAATTGAGCATCGAGAATATGGAGAAGTAATTCAGCTACAGGGTGACCAACGCAAGAACATATGCCAGTTCCTTGTAGAGACTGGACTGGCTAAGGACGACCAGCTGAAGGTTCATGGGTTTTAAGTGCTCGTGGCTCACTGAAACTTAAGTGAGGATTTCCTTGCAACGAGTAGAAATTTTCCCTTCTGTCCCTTGTCACAAGTTTAAAACGTCACAGCTTGTATAATGTAACCATTTGGGGTCCACTTTTAACTTGGACTAGTGTAACACTTTCATGCAATAAACTGAAAAGAGCCAACCCCCCCCAAAAAAAAAAACAACTTTAGAGATTAATTTCAGAGTAAGTAAAAAACCATTTTGTGTGTGTGTGAAAAAAAGGAATATAAAGAACAATGAAATATATTTACTTTCAGATCCAAACACTGAAATAAGAACAATTAGTGTTACGATTGGCACAAAAAAAAGGTTCATGTTTAGTGAATTTAAAGAGGAAGGGGAAAAAAATTCAGGGTAAAAAGAGACAAATATTTCCCCCCAGATAAATCATCACTTCATTCCAACTTTCAAAGTCTACATGTTGTTCAAAATCAATCTCCATAATAGTCTATGTGTTTCCTACTGCCAAAGGGGCCCTTTAGAGTAGTGAGAGATCTTCACCCTGAAACCCACAGCGTCCCTTTTCAGCAGGAAGTAGCTAAGAGAATACGCCATCCCCTTTCCCTTATGACTCAGGGTGAAGTCTCTCTCAGGGAGGAGTGATAGGGAATGGCAAAGGACACACTGACAAAGAAGATTACTCAGAACTGGCTTTGACAAGCACTGTGGCATTTGGACAAGAACAAACTGGGAGGAGGGTAGAGAGAATAGTGCAACAATGAATGAATGGAAACCCAAAATCTCTGTAAATGTTTATGAAAATTAATAAAATATAGAAAAAAAAAAGTCTACATGTTGTTGATTGCCTTAGAGTAGAGCACGACTCACAGAGACCCTGTGAACAAAAGCCCTGAAGCCCCTCTACAACTATCGACAATTATCATAGTTTCTGGAGGCAAGTTGTGTAGGAAGTGGATGCCACTCCTGCTATATAGCAGATCATAAGTACACAGGGTTCTCTTTTTTAAAAAATTATTATTTATCTGTGTGTACCATCAAATTGGATCTGACTGGTACAGGAAGTGATTGTCCCTCCTTCTCTAGCAGAGCATCTGGAGGATAATACACAGGATTTTAAGATGATGAAAGTGGCTGGCAGAGTTGATAAGGTACAGAATCTAGACTGTCCTGTGAAGGATGAGAGGTGTTTTTTGTGTGTGTACCATCAAATCGATCTGACTAGTACAGGAGATTGACCCTCCTTCTCCAGCACAGCATCTGGTGGATCTGAAATGCTTAGCTCTGGGATTGCAGTGTAGCTTCTTGCCAATAGGCCACCAGAGCTCCTTAAGAGGTGTTTTTAAAGACAGCAAAGACAAGGAGAGGTCTCTCCTGGCCTGGAGACCACCCCCCCCCCCAATTTGATCAGCATTCACTACTTTCCTTGTGCTTTAAACATACTATTTTCTCCCAAGCCTATTATTCTCCCCATTTTAACAATAAAGAAAATGAATCATAGGGAAGTTAAGATACTCAGCTAAGGCCTACAAGTAACTAATCAGTAGTGGTTGGTATTGAAATGCAACTATACCTCTAAAATCTGTGTTTTTAACCACTGTTTTATACTTCCTTTTTAGTGAAGCTTCAGTAACAAAGAGATGACGGCATCTTTTCTAGAGTAAGGAAGATGCCACCTTATAGGAGCTGATGGTACAGGTTGAGGTCAGTGTGATGGGCAACAGTAGTGTGGTATGGCTGGGAGGGTCCAAATTTCTAGCTTCTTTCTCTGGGGAGGATACTATGTTACCTTGGGGAGTAGTGGCAAGAGTAACTGAATATTGACACTTGTTGTTATATGCTTGCAACTCATAGAGACCCTATGTACAATAGCTTTGAAAACTTCTCTATCCTGTGCCAACCTTAATGTCTGACACACCTACCCTCATTACTCTAGTTACTGAATCAATCCATCTCATTGAGGGTCTTCCTCTCTTGCACTATTCCTCCACCCTTCCAAGCATTACGTCCCTCTCCACAGACTCGTCCCTCCTTGCAACATGCCCAAAGTTAGCCAGACAAAGCCTTAGAATCTTTGCCTCCAAGGAGCAGCCTGGTTTTACCCTCTCCAAGATGAATCTGTTTGTCTTCTTAGCAGTCTATGGTATATTCAATACTCTTCCCCAGCACTACAGCTCAAAGGCATCAATTCTCTTTCTATCATCCCAAGTCATTGTCCAGGTTTCTGACACACAGCAAGCGATTGCGAAGAATTGCCTGGATCAGGCACACCTAGTTTTCTTTTTTATATGCTATAGTAACAACTTAGGGAGCTCTGGTGGCCTAGTGGTAGGAACCTGTGCTGCAATTCCAAAGGCACATGGTTCAAATCCAACAGCCGCTCTGCGGGAGAAGGATGGGGTGATCTCCTCCGTGCAATTAACTGACTCTGAAAATCTGCTAGAGGGTCACCTACAGGTTGGCATCCAACAATACTAAGAGTTAAGCTAAGCCTAGAACAGAGATAACAAGCACATTCTGGGGGTTTCAGGCCCAGCCCATTACTGGTGTGATCCACTCACCTCTTCTAGGAAGGATAGCAGGAAGTCTCGAGTGGCATTGTTTGAGGTGAAGAAGCCGTGCACAGCCTTGTAGAGAACATAGTGGTTAAGGCGGCGCGACGTGGACGGCAGCATTCGTAGGGCCCTCAGCACAAACCGTGGCTCCTTGCCTGAAACAGCTTTCTCTAACTGTTTGACATGCTCTTTTATGTCTGTGGGAAGACCGGAAAGGGAGGAGCAGTATCACTTCTTATTCTTATTTCTCCACTATGCTGGTAGAGGATGTTATCAATCACCTTTTCCTTCATGTTGTTAGGAGTTGAGTATCACTCATAGCAATCCTATGAACAGATCTGAATTCTGTCCTATCCTGTACCATTCTCACACTTTCTGACAAACTAGAGCCCACTGCAGCAGTCACCAAGTCAATCCACCTGGTCCAGGGTCTTCCTCTACTTCGCTGACCCTCCACCTTTCTAAGCATCATGTCCATCTTCAAGGAAAAGAACCTCCTAGCAACCATGTCCCAAGCATGTGAGGTAAAACCTCATCATCCTTGCCTCCAAAGAGCACTCCAGGTACACCCTCTCCAGGCCTCTCGTCTTTTCTGTCATAGAGCTAAGCAATACTTACAGAATCCCTATGTGGGTTTTAATATATAACCACGAGACAAGGAAAAGTAAACAGGTGTGGGGAACAAGTTAGAGGGTTCAGAAAGGACAAAATAATGAGAAGGAACAGGAATTTATCAGATTTCTACATATGAAAAGACTTTTTAAACTTGAATACACATCCCCCTAAATCAATGATGTGGACTTTTTAAGCAAAACAAACAAACAAACAAAAACCCCAAATAAAAATTCTATATAATTGCGTAAGTATCTTCAATAAATAGGGTCAGAGACTAATTTTCTACTTAAAAGAATATATTATATGCCTATGTATATTCTATATACATCAATGTGGCCTAGTGGTAATAAGCCATGCTGTAATTCCAAAGGCACGCAGTCTCCTCCTGTGTGATTTACCGACTCTGAAAACCCCCTGGAGGGTCAGCTACAGGTAGGTTCTGACTACATAGCACATAACAACAATAATAGTCTCTATGAAAAACAAAGAAACAGTTAAAAGAAACTGTTACCACAATTTCAAAATAAAAATGTGACACAAATGATACACTAGATGGAAGATAAACGGCAGACAAAAAAAATACCCATGTTATATCAGCACTTACGTAATTACAAACTAAACACTTTCAACTATCAAATTGGCAATATGTAATAAATGTTAAGATAAAGTGAAAATGACAGTTCTGCTGGTATAATGTAAATTAATAAAAAACTTTAAAAGGAAATGTTTACCTTCTTTGACTTAAGCATATAAAATCCGAGGTACTGTATTATACAAATAATCATAAATATAGATTATAACGTGAACAAAAAGATTATTGGTGCAAAGATACTAGAAAATGGAAACAACATCAATGTGTGGAAATTAGGGGTACTCAAACAATGGTTAGCTTCTATACACAGCATTTAGGATACCTGGGTCACATTAATAACATAATAGCAGTTAAAATGTATCCAAAGCTTACTATGTGCTTGCCATGTACCAGGCACAGATTTACTTGACTCTTTTTTTTTTTTTTTTTAAATTTGACTCTTTACAACAACCAAATGTAGCAGTTAGCCTCCCTCTCACTCTTAGGTGCGGTTGATTCCATCTAACCATGAATGGAGACAACAGAAGGAAACAGTGCTTGGTCCTGTGTTTTCTTCACAATCGCAGGCAAGCTTAAGCCCATTCCAGCCCGGACAACTCATCTTCTGATAATGTACCAGACAATGTTTCACTGTTATTCTTAAGGATTTCACGAGCCATTTTTTTTTTTTGGACGTAGATTGCCAGGTCTTTCTTCCTAGTCTGCATTAGTCTGAAGCACCACTGACACTTTACACCATTGGTGACCCTGCTGGTATCTGAAATGCTGGTGAAATAGCTTTCAGCATCGAAGCCAACAGGCAAGTCACTACAATACAATACGATACACTGACAAACAAGTAGTAAAGTCTCATAGAGAGGAAGAAATAATTCCAGAGTTTATATTCTACTCATCTTGAGAATATTCACTCACTCACTCACTCATTGCTGTTGGAACTGATGCGTCGCTGATTCTTCGGGGGGCTGTGAACTGCATGAGAGATCGCCCTATCTTTTCTGTCCCTGGAGTTGCTGGTTGATTTGAATCTGCAGAGGCTCAGCTTTTGGGTAAACAGCGCAACTCCCCAACAGACTATGCCACCAAAACTCTGGCAGGTTCAAACCACTGACCTTTCAGTTAGCAGCCCAATACACAACACACTCCGCCACCATAGGTCCTTTTTTCATCCAGTTAACAAGAACGACAACCCACTAACTAGTCTAATTCCACTTAATTCAGAAGCTGAGGCACCATGGGAAGTTCTCCCTCTACTCACTCCAAACATGAGCAAGTAAAATATGAAGAGGAGGAATACAAGGCACGCTAGAAATGAGGAAAAGGTGCCTGGGAGAAGAGAACAAGGGAGACTGGAAGATAGGCTTTTGTGATAATAACGCAAAGATGACACCTAAAAAGTTGGAAGTTAGATCCTTAAGAAAGTGGAAAGAAACGCTTTAAAAGAGAAGGAAAGAACAAGGATATCATTTGAACATTTTAATTAAAAAGAAAAGTAAGCTGCTAGGTAGGAAGGGTTCATTTAGGGATTCGTTAAAGGCAATTAAAGCAACAGAAACGTACTGTACACTCTTAAACGTAAAAGGAAATTCTTATGTCATCCTAGCTCCATTTTCATACATGTAAATGTCAACACTGGTTTCTAGAGGGGTCACCCACATACTGGAGTGTCAGGTCAGCGGGGGACATGGAAGAGGGGGTCCTCAGGCTCGGTGAGCTCTAGTTTGAGAAGCAGCTTCAGTGGGAGATGTTAGGGCAGAAGTCCCCAGCCGGGAGAGGTGTTGTCATTGGGGCTGGAGCGGGAATGTCAGAACTGTAAGACTGGACATTTGGAAAGGTGATCTTAAGGAACCGAGGGTGGTGGAGGCTGTGCTGGGGACCTAGAACAGACCGGATGCGGGGGTACTGTCACCCGTGATCGTGGCAAGTCCCCAGTTTGGGTTTTCGTACCCTCCAAGGTGACGATGTCTAACTCTCGTTGAGAGTGTTCAGCTGCCGCCTTGCCGTCGGTCTCCGCCGCTGGTCCGCCACCCGCTGCTGCCTCTTCTTTCATCTCCACGTCCTGGGGGGCTGGTGGCGGTGGTGGCTCTTGTTCCCCTCCGCCTGGCGGCGGTTTAGCCTTATCCGCTCCGCGGCGCCGCGCCGAGCCCTCCTGCTTCATAGCGTCCGGGGTCGCGGCCTAGTCCGGGGACCGAGGCCGGGGCCTCGCGTGAACCCTCAAACCGGGGACCAGGAGCCGGGCCGGGCCTGCACACGAGCGCGGGCTCGCGTCGGGCCGCACGATGACGGAGCAGCTGCAAACCCCTTCCCGGCGCTGTGCCTTCTGGGAACTGCTAGGCCTGGTGGGCCGATGACTGAGTCAACAAAGGGAAAAGAAATCAAGAGCCGAGGTGCAGGATGGAGGCGGAACTTCGAGGAAAGAGCAGGGAGGAGCTTATCCTCCCGAGTGCACTTCTGGGGATGTCCACCAGAGGTCCCTTAAGGTTACACCTCTCGGACTCCCAAGAGAACGGTGATCGGCTTGGAGTGGGTAGGGCCTACCTACGCTCAGGACGTGATGACGTCAGAGCTACCGGCGGCTTTCTCAATTTTCGCGCAGCAGGAGTTGGGCTACGCGTAAGCAATATTGGTCCTCTGCAGCTGCGGGCTGCAATGGCGTGAGGAAAGAGGGCGGTGAAGGAGAGCTAGACAATTGGGCTAAGAATAAACCGAACCAGAGAGTAAGAAGATCCCTTTGGGATCCAGATGTCCGTTTCACATTTTGTTTTAGTGTTGGAAATACGTGCTACTGGACAGAAAGCTGGACAATGACTAGGGATGATAGAGAATTGATGCCTTTGAGTTGGGATGCTGAAGAAAAGGAGAACAATCAGGTTCGTCCTAGAGAGGGTGAGACCAAGCTGGTCTTTGGAGGCTAGGATTCTGAAGTTTCGTCTGACATACTTTGGGCATGTTACAAGGAGGGACCAATCCTTGGAGAGCGACGCCATGCTTGGGAGGGTGGAGGGACAGCGCAAGAGAGGAAGACCCTCGATGAGATGGATTGATTCAGTGACTGGGGCAATGGGGGTGTGTCAGAGACAATAAGATTGGCACAGGATAGAGCAACGTTTAGGGCTGTTGTACATAGGGTCGCTTTGAGTCGGCGACTCGATGGCACATAACAACCTGCCAAGGGGATCATCCATAAGGAGGTGTAGAATTTATGTAGAATCCATCAAGTTTAATTTGAGATACGCTCTTTATGGTCTAGGACACGTGGAAGATGGAAAACTCAGTTTGAGAATTTATTCTATGAGGGAACAAGACAATATGGATAAATAGCTCAGTTCTGGACTGTGGTGTATTCTGAGCCTCCAGGACTCAGAGTCATAGCGACCTGTGAACGATACATCTGAAGCTTGCATTATCTTGCGCCATCTTCAAGATCATGCTCAAGCCCGTTACAGTCACTGTGTCAATCTGTCTCCTTCTTCCTCTCTTTCCCTGACCTAACTTCTCCAAATTGATGTCTTTTTTCCTAGGACTGACCCCTTCTAATAACATGCCCAAAGTATTTGAGGAAAGGAGCTGGACCCTTCTAGTGACAGCGTTATGCATTGAGAGAAACACAGATTGGGAAATAGGGAATACTAATGGAGAGCCTGGAACTTCTGCCAAGGTAAATTCAGAGAAACGAGAGGCCTCAATTTCTGAAGGCCTGTGCTTTGACTAATTTCCCTTCGCTTTCTCTTTCCCTTCTCCTCTGAAGCTCAAGATGCTTGACAACCTTTGAATCATCCCTGGAATAAACTTATTAAACTGACTGCTTCAAAACACTGTATCTTAACTGTGGGTGAGTGATCATGGTAAAAGAGGAGAAGAGATCAGCTTTGTTGTTGTCTTTATAATCAAAGAAGTTCCCTTCTGGATTGCTAGGATGTTAGCTCACCTCTATTAAGTTTACATCACAAAAGAAAAACAATCAAATCAGCAGATAACAGCCCAGTATGTCTATGAGCAATGTAGGGAGGCCTTGGAAGATACACCAGAGTGGGAGAGGATGGCTTAACACAGCAATTGGCAGTTGCTCATGAATTCTTGGTGAGTGAGGAAATTAGTTTGATCAAGAGGTAGCCAAGAAGAGGGAAAAAAAGAGTCTCCAGGGGCCAAGATCTTGGTGAAATTATTCCACTCGAAGTATTATAAAGAAGACTGGTGAAAGATGTTAAAACCCAGCTTTGGGCAGAGAAGGATGATAATGATCTAGCAGTTTTTTGAGACTGCAATATATGCCTGCCTTCCACCAAACAGCTATTCGAGAAAGGGTCCCTGTGCCAAGGCTAACCACAGCCTGTAACAACCTTGAGTTGAAGGCAGGAAAATAATGAAGTCAGTGTCATAAATTTTTTAAGCTTTCACTCTTTTTATTTACTTTAAAAAACTCATTTACATTTCCTATTTATTATAAGATGTATTTGAAATTGTTCTATTCTTGTTTGGAGCTTTACTCTAAAATAAGCTTGAAAGTTTTCTACTCTTCTGTGGAACTTTACCCTGTCCTTTCCATAAAACCTTGACTCAGGTTTGTTTTTTTTTTTTTTGCTTTGATTATGAAATTGAATGACTTCTCATAGAAACAATTATCAGTTTTTCTTATTAGGTAAGGCCACTGGTAAAGTTATACATTTCCTTAGATAACCTATCTCACTGCCATCGACTCATAGTGGGTTCTCCAGCGGGTTTCCGAAGCTGCAAATTGCACAGGAAGTGACTGTTCATCTTTCTCCCTCGGAGCTGCTGGTGGATTCAAAACACCAGACCACACTGTCACCTGAGCTCACTCAGGTTGTCAGAAGGGGTCAGTGCTTGGGAAAAGACATCATGCAGGGAAACGGGGAGGGCTAGTAAGAGAGAGGAAGACCCTCAATGAAACAGAATGACAGTGACTGCAACAATGGGCTTGAGTATGGCGGAGATCATGACGATGGCACAGGATAGGGCAAGGTTCCCATCTGTTGTTCACAGGGTCACTATAAGGCGTAGTCAACTTGACAGCACCTGACTTCTTCACCAGCAAAATCAAACACCTTGGTGATCCTGACCTTTTCAGCTTCTGGAGGCCTTGTCAGATCCTTGAGTTTCACCAACTTATTTGAACTTGTTTCTGCAGCTTCCTCTTCTCTCTTAACTCGTGTACTTGCAACAGACACTTTTGATTTTGGTCCGACATCATTGAGAAAGCTGGCCCAGAGTTCATCCTCCTTCTTTTTTCTTGCATCTTCTGACTCACTGCCCTTTTCCTGCTCTGCAGACCCATCTTCCTCCTCACTGCTGGTCCCTCCAGATTCCGCTCCGGCAGCCACATCTTCTTCTCCTTCTAATGAGAGGCCACCCCGTTTTCTCTTTCTGGCTGGAATGCTCTGAGCCATTCTTTTTTTCCCTTGAGTTTTCTGTGTCTGCTCTTCACCATCCATTTCATCTTCCTTCACTAATTCATTTACATCATCTTCACTATACTCTCCACCCGACGGCACATAGTCCTAGTCTTCCTCGGAAGTAGAAAAGTCTTCGGAGTCAAATTCCTCCATGTCAGTGCAAGGCAAAAAAACACCTTCGCGGCTGTTCTGAGCAGCAAAGACCCACGGGGTCTAACGCAGAAGGGAGGAGGCCACGGCTACCCGGGCAGGCTCCGCTGCTTTTGAGCAAGCGTACAATGCCACATGGGAGCAATCTGACTCAGGGTTTTTATTTTAGATGCCATAAAGTTGAGCATGACTCATAACAACCCTATGAACAATAGATCTATACCCTAGCCTATTCTGTACCATCCTTATCATCCACGACACATTTGAACCCATCGTAGACAGTCAGTGTGTCCGTCCGTCTCGCCATGGGTCTTCCTCTCTTTCACTGACCCTCCAACTTTCCTAGCATGAAGTTCTTTTACAAAGAATAATCTCTCCTAACTGCATGTGAGATGAAGTTTCATCATCCTTACCTCCAAAGAGTCCTGTGGCTACACTTCTCTAAGATATATCTGTGTTCTTTTGGCAGTGGATATGCAGTACTCTTCTTCAACACCACAACTCAAAGACTTTGATTCTTTGGCTCTCATCGTTGGTCATTGTCTAGCTCTCAGATATGTAGCAGGTAATTTGAAAAACCACAGCTTGAATCATGACTGATGCACTTTAATTTTAAAATTGACATCATTACTCTCAAGGACTTCAGAGAGGTTCCTGACAGCAAACTTTCCCAATGCTGTATTCTGATCTCCTGACTACAGTACTAAGGGTATTGATTAAGGATGTAAACAAGATGAACTCATAGACAATTTCTATCTCTTCCTCTTCTATCATGTTGTTGCCTGTTGGCCCAGTGATGAGAATTTTTCAATTCAGGTGTAGAAGGCCCCAAATACCTGCAAAAGCTCTTCAAGCTCTTCTTGGAAAATGTGCACTTTGATGATCCTCTAAATTTAAAATTTATAGTTTGCATTTTAAACTCTTTTGGTTTTAACATTTCCCAGGTGGCCTGAGGACAGGATGTTGTTAAGTGCCATTGAATCAACTGCACCTGATAGCAACCCTATGAACAATGATCTGAACCCTGTGCCATCCTCACCCTCTCTGATAGACTTGAGCCAGTTGCTACACTCACTGTGTCAATCTGTCTTGTTGAGGGTCTTCTCTTATATTGATCTTCCGTTTGCCAAGCATAATGTTCTTCTCTGAGCCCTGGTCCTTTCTTAAAATGTCTCAGAGTATATAAGAAAGACTTTCACCATCCTTGCCTCCAAGGAGCATTCTGGTTTCACCTTTTCCAGTGTTGTCAACTGAAGGAAAAAAGAGATGGGGACACACAGGAATGGGGGTCAGGCCAGAAAATATGAAGGCAGGGGGCTAACAGCTGGGAGAACAGCAGCCCCTGTGCTGTGCCTTTCTGGGTTTTTATTGAGAATTATCAGGAAGGTAAACAAAGGAAAATCACAAGGGAGTCATAAATAAAAAGGATCATGGAGAAGTCTTGAAAATAAGGCCAAATTCTTCTCTTTTGTTTACCTTATGCTTATCACAGGAGGGAGGGATTTAGTAAATACAAACTAAGAACTATATAGACTCTTAAGGATTGCCTTAATGCCTACCCTTGTAAACTTTTAAGGATTGCCTTAGTGCTACAGGGTGAATTCCAGCTAGTATTAGCCTCCCTCCTATCCTGACATAGCATTTGGCTTACTATTAATATTAAATTTGATATTTGGCTTCCCACACTCCAGGAAATCTAGGAGCTTTGTGTAGTATGATTGATAGATTCTTTAAAGAAAAACACCAAAGACATTCAAAGTGACATAATATTTTCCTTTAATTCTGGTAAAATTTGTG